CCTAGTCTTCTTTTGCATCGGTCAGAGAGACCCCAATGCCATCCACTCATTAACAGAGGGGTGGATGGGCGGGCCTAAGGCCTGAGGGTCGAGGAATCGACCCCTAAGCCCGGCAGAAAGAAAGAAAGAAAGAGAGACCGCCCCCTCACCTCTTATAACGTTATGAAAGAAAGAGAGAGACCGTAGCCATTTTGGCTCACGTCATCCGCCGCGCTCTCCTTTGGGGGAGTGTGCTCGGTAGTGGCCCTGTGGGGGGGGGGGGAGAAGGTAGTCTCTCTTGAAGGAAAGAAAGAACGAAAAAAAGAGACACACGGAACGACATAAAGAACGAAAGAAAGAAAGACAAATCAAGAGCGACAGAGAAATGGACTAAATACATAGATAGAAGGAGAAAGAAATACAAAAAGACACAAGGAACTACATGGGTAAGCAAATCAATAGACAAAGAACGAAAGAAACAAAGACATACGTTTAGATGGAGAGCGAGAGACAGACAAAGCATGGATGCCCGGCGTTGTTGACTATGCAAGGCAGCGGTCAGGCCGCGCCGGCCGAACGCAGCTGGCAGCTTAGGTCGCTTCAGGCGAAGCACGGCAACTTCGAAATCCATTCACACAACCAGGTCTTGTTTTAAGAAATCTTCTCTTCTCAGCTTTCTTTTCAAGAGTCGGCTTTTGAGGCCGGGGATTGCGATTCGGCTCGTCACTCGAAGCTTCTTCGAGGCGAAGGGCCGAAGGTTTTTGTTTTCTTGGGGAGGCTTTGATATGCCATCCCTGGATCCTATGCTCAGGAGAAGATGCCAGAATTCGACACGCCGGAGATTTTGCGGACTTCAACTGCAAAGCTTTTCCTGAGGGCGAAGAAGCTTTCGCAGGCGGAGAGTTGCGAGACATGCTAGCTTCATCAAAGCTGTGCTCCAGTACACTGGTGATCCGTTTCGAGCACTGCATCATTGCAGAAGAAGTAGCATCATTTGTAGAAGGTGCCAGTTTGCCTGACTCAGCGGTTTAGGATGGTGGCTGCAGGTGTTACAGAAGACATCAGCAACATTTTCGCCGTGTGGGCCCCGTGCATCAAAGGTTGTCAATCGAGCTGTGATTTCACCTTGTGATACCTGGGGTTATGCCCTGTGCAGGGACTGTCCTCTGGATTTGCATTCAGCTCGGTCGCTCATAGGCCATGCACGTGGCAGTGTAAAGTAACGACGTTCATGCCGACCTGTCGGTATGGCGCATTGGAGGCTCATTGCCGCAACCACCAAAGATGAAGCTTCTGAAAGCTGCTGCCGTGGGCTTGAAATGCTTTGCATGTCTACCGGACGCATAGCAGACCTGCAGAGAGTTACTGAGGTCAAGGAATTGGCACAGACGAGTGCACTTGCTGCTGCAGATGAAGCCGCTGAAATAACTTCCTTAGGCGCGGCCTGCCTCGGTCACTGCAAATTGGCTACATGCTTGGAGTCTGGATGTTGCCATGGCTGGTTGCTGTCAAGCATTGAGCCGCGAATCAACGCATGTTGACAGATCAAAAGTGTCAAGTACGTGTAAAGCCGCATGGCGACGCCTGTCTTGACATAGTCCAGTCAAAAAACATCTGATTGCTCTGCAGCTAGCTCTTTCATGCGAAGTTCTTGGCATCCCACTCGTGTTACGAAATGCGGAGCCGCATGGCCGCAGTGGACTGACGAGTATGGCGAACAATCCCAGGATGCGGCAACTAGAGCCCTGGCTGCGCCTAAGGCGCTGCGTTCTGTGCCTTGAGTACATGGTACATCATGGTACTTTCAGGAGCAGCTGGTTGCAGAAATCGAAATGCTCCGCAGCTCCGCCAGCATCACTGTGGAGGAGGAGGCCAGTCTCCTTGCACTTTGCAGCTGGTGCGACTCGGTGCCAGTTGCCGCACTGACCCCATCTGAGGCACCGATGACCCAAAAGGGCACGGAAGAGCCCTCCAAGGAGAATCCTGCGGAAATGCTTGTGCTTCTTGGCTTGTCACGTGATTGCAGTCTCACCGAGGCCACCTGCTTGGTGCCTTGCATGCCGAATTAGCCGGGTGTTCGGTGAAGATCTTGTGCTGAGGGCGAATGTCGTGAATTACGGTGAATTCTCAGAAGATCCATTTTCGGAGGACGTGTTCTGTTCGACGTCTGATGACAGTTCATGGCCAGAAAGGACAACACATGCACCGCTGCACCGCGAAGGACTCCATCATCTTCTCATGCCCTCCACCCGATGTTTCCGTGGCCGATGCCGGCAATGTGGAGCGAGATCCAGAAGATGCTTGTCTGAGCCTGCAATCCCCCAGCCAGTTTCTTGCTGCAAGCTTGTCCAAGGAGAAGCATGATGACGACCCTCCTTCCTTTCTTCCCATCTCGATGGATCATGCGTCGCAAGGCACTGCGTGGTCTAGGTGTATATACAATGGCTACAGGGCAACACCTGTGCTGGGCCTACGCATGGATGACAGAGGTTCATGGATGGGCGCGCGCCCATACGACGATGAGGCATGAACTTGGGAGCAAGGCATGCAACAAGCGCCGCCAGAAATCTCTTGTCTGCAGGACGTTGTGCCAATGCAGTCCCCAGTGCCATGTGGCTCGCCGAAAGGCGAGCTTGCAGAGCCTGTGGCAGAGCCTGCGGCAGAGCCTTCGGCAGAGCCTTCGGCAGAGCCTGTGGCCGACGCGTTTCTCGACGCAGTCCATGAGAAAGTCTTCGAGCTCACGCAGCCCGAGGCCGGTGGAGGCCAGACGCCTGCCATGGCTTGGGAGTTGCGCAGCTGCCAGGACAGGGTCCTGGCGCCGGAGCTTCCAGGAACCATCTCAGAGGCCGCAGAGCAGAGCACAGGCGAAGGTTTGAACGGCGGACTCCAGCAGCCGGAGGCTCCCTGCACTGAGAGGGATGGCACACGAGCACGTAGACGCCAGCTGCAGGCGGACTACTCGAGCACCGACGTTGTTGCAAGTGCTGCTGAGGAGCTTGTGCATAGCATGTCGGCATGCAAGAATTCAGTTCCAGGCCTTTCTAGGCATCTGCTTGGCTGACTCTGGCTGTATGCATGGCTGTATGCATATTGCAGTTGGCAAGCATTTGCACGACACATCGCACCGTGTGTCCAGGAGCCAGGGACCGGGCAAGAGCAGAGCAGTCAACTTGAAGTTCCAGAGCCGAAGGATTCGGATCAGCACTGTCCAGCTCAGGCGACTTTTGTAGATCTGTCAGGTTTGCACTCCTCGAGTCTCTTTTCAGGGATCATGCAAGCATCCGTGCAGTGTTTGTTTGCCAGGTGGTAGAAACCACTGGCAGCATGGACGGAGCTTCAAGTGCAGTCCAGACCGATGTAGCCACGGAAGCAAAGCCTGGTGTGGTGAAGGACAGCCGCAGCGCAGCCGATGTGCCCTAAGAGTTGGAGCGATTTGGCGAAGACCGTGCAAGACATGAGTTATTGTAGGCTGCGCCAAGGATGGAGAGCAATGTGTCAGCCGGTCAAACCCAGTCACCCAGTCCATCTAATCCACACTTCTGCGACGGCTGAGACACCAGAACCCTTAGCAGATACTGTTCAACTGGGGAAAACAGGATTTAGAATGCTGTTTCTGTGTGTGCTTCTTCTGACTGCCGTGCCAGGAGGAACAGTGCGACGGGGTCACTGCCGAGAGCATGACGGTAGACTTCGAGGGATACTCGAGAGCGGAGGACCAGGATCTACTGGGAACGTTTTCTGCGGTTCTGCGATGAATTTTCTCACTCGCCGACGCATTTCGCCTTTTGCTGTTGTGTGTTTCGGTCCAGGCTGCCAGCCCGGAAGCGGATGCGGTGGATTCCACGGCCTCAGCGGAGCAGCCAGGTGACCTCAATCAGGCTGATAGCCAGGTGACGCCGACACAGCTGAGCCTCGACACGCGCCCGCAGTACGACGACAAGTTGTTGTGGGGTTATGCACTAAGGCAGACCCAATTTACTACCAGTTTACTACTTGGTCCTTGCGAGGAAGTAGCTGAGCTGCGTGAGCATATCCTCGAGCTGCAGGCGGCTGCCGTTCCCGCCAAAACACTGTTCGATCGTTCATGGCTCGTCCGTACATTTTCGGAAGCTCAGCGTTTGATCAACACTTGATCGTCCTGACAGGAGGCGGTGGCATCAAAAGATCAAACAGTTGCGGCACAACAGCAGATGCTGGAGGGCAAGAGCACTGACTTGAAGGCGCACCTGCCGCTGCCGGTGTAGGCGCTTGGGTGCTTGGCTCCAAGCCTGCTTAGAGCAAGTCGGACCGTTGGAGGCTCTGGAGGATCAGATTGCGCTGCTTCAAGCGACCGTCACAGATCTCAAGGTCCTTCGCAGAGTCCTGCAGGCACCACGCAACACAGAAGCCTCTGTCAGGCAAACATTGCTGAGCAGCCCGGCAATCTGCAGGAGCCGTTTCGACCCGGCCCGACATCTCGAGGGTGATTTCATCTTGTTTGCAGGAGAGGCTGAAGGCGGCAGAGTGCCGGGAAAGCGATCAGCTCTCCGAGACACGCTGCTTTTGTTAATTGTTAATGCTGTGCGCTGTTGCGTGATGATACTTGCCTTGAGTTGACTCCAGCACCATCCAAGGATCCAGAGCTTGCAGGTTGAGCTTTCCAGATCAGCGTCAGAAAAGGCGAGGGAGATCCATAGCAGAACTGAAATCTGTCCTTTTTCGGGTCGCTTCGTCCCAGGCTGCCTCACAGCAGCACTGGGAGGAGCAGGTCGTGGAGCTCAAGAGGCAGCCGTCATGTTCACGTACTTTCACCTTCGCCTCCTGGTTTCTGCACATGCCGCACATCTCACCATCTGTCATCCTGTGTGTGCACATGTATGTAAGTGTATGACCAGCTATGCGCGAGCAGCAAGCAGAAGTTAGTTTCGACAAGCAGAGAGCCGAATCGAAGCGTCAAGACGTCGACAAAGTTTTCGACGCCCAACTTTCAGTATTTTCCTGCGCTTTTCGACGTCTTGAGGTTTTGCAGAGGCTCCGATCTCTGAGTCCTTGTTGGCAAGGGTTAATGAGAGCGAGGCTAAGAAGGGGCTTAAGTCTTAAGGCTTAAGGGGGGCTTCAGGTGGGACTTAAGTGGGGAAGCTTTGTTTCTTTCTTCCTTTCTCCCGCCCCAGGCGAGAACATGGGCTGTTTTGATTACCCGGACCGAGACGTGTTCTTGACACCAACTCTACGCCCGGACAGGGTTGGGTTTGAGGTTAACCCAACCCTAACCCCCAAACATCGGTTGGGTGGGAAACCCAGCTGGCAGGGCTAGGGCTGGAGGCAGCAGTAAAACGAGTAGTAGTTGGTTGCTCGTAGTGTTTGAGTACTGTCATTCATCGTGGCAGTATTTTCAGCAGTTTCGACCTGGCGAGCGATTCCAACCGAATGGCAAATGCTTATTCAATGTTAAAGTAGTTCGGGTTCCGCCCAAGCAACCAAAACGCAGCACAACCACAGGTATTTTGGCTGAGTTCTCGTGTTAGGCGAACATTTCAATACAGTATGTTTTGATCTTGTTTGGTGTCTTCAAAGCGAGTAAAACGAATCAAGCAATTGGATAAGTGGCACGTTTTCACATTTTCGGGTTTGGGGAACCCCAACTGGCAAAATTCCATTGATAAGCACCAAAGAGTGACCAACACACAATAGTTCCGCGACCTAAGAACCTTGTGCGCGGCAAGGAATTGATAACTTCTGGTTCTGAAATTTGAGGCATCCTCAAGACCTGATAGACCTGAAATGAACGAACCCATAGGTGTTTTGCAACGTTTTCCTGGTTTGGGGAATCCCTATGGGAGAAAATCAACGATTGTTTTCACCGTCTCGTGATTCCGAAAGCAACCAAAAAGCGTACGAAGCATTTGGGCCCTGTGTTTCGTGTCTGGGGAAGACCCAAATTTGGCAAAGTTGTCCGAACTGCAACCCGTTTTTCGGGTTTCACCCGGCTAATAAGTAGCCAAAGCATGGATAGATTTTGGCCGACGTTTCGGGTCCCAGATGAACACATTCGCAGACTTTTTGCCGGACTCGTTGAGCTTTTGCAATTCTAGATGCTAAATGTTTTCAATGATTAAGACTTTCCACTTTTCGACTTTACGGTTTTGGCGTTACTTTCGACTTTTCACGGCGTGTCTCAACTTTTCGAGGCTTGTTTCTCCACATAACCCTTATACATTGCCAGGGTGGTTGCCGAAAAAGATGCAGAGATGACAGCACTGCGAACAAGCCAGCTAGGCAGGCAAGAGGAGGACCTGACATGTGTCTGTCCACATGTTTGTCTTGAATTCTGGCACCTCGACGGGGTGCTCACTCCTGGGCTGTTGCACGTGTGGGATGGCTTCAGGATGAAGTGACCGTCGCAGACTTGGCAGGACTTGGGCTCTAAGCTTCCGCAAGCTTACCTTTGGAGATTTCGTCTCAAATGAGCAGGTTGGGAAAGCTTACAGCTCCGACTTCTGCAGGAGCGCCTGCACCTGGAATCACTATTCCGGTGGAAGCCCCCCCTGCAGATGGCAAAAGCAAGGCTATGCTTCTTGCTTCTTGTACGGCAGACAGTGCTCAGCACTCACCCGCTTTCCGGCAGGCGGACGAAACAGACCTCAAGTGCCTTGGATTGATTGCGTGTATGTTGAGCTACTACATAGGCCAGCTCTTCACCCTAGGAAGCTGCTTGAGAGCAGATCGGCACAGCCCAAGGATTGCTGGCGCGGGAGAGCGCATCCATGCTCGGATCACGGAGACCAGGGTGAGTCTAGTGTTCTGGAGTTGTCATAGAGATTTCGTGCATAGGTTGATGTCAGAGAGCACAGCATCCCGATGAGACGCAGGAGCCGCGGGCGATGGCCAACATCGTTCAGGCACAGGCGGAATGTGCTGAACACCTAGGGCCTGCACTGGCAAGCTAGTGAGCTAGTGGTTCTTGAGCTTCGTTTAAAGATGTCGGCTTGGAACCTGGAGATCTCCTGATTGGTTCTTTCGAGCATGGCGACTTCTGTAGAGATTTTGAGAGCCGACCAGGGAAGCGCCCCGGTGCCAGCTCCGTCCTTGGCAGTGTCTGGCGGATCACGGCTTGTGGCCGTGGTGGCTGGCAGTGCCTCGAAGGCGGGGACGTCCAGGACTCTGCTACAAGTAGGGAGGGCTGCAGACTCTGGCAGGAACGAATCCCGCAGCTCCCACTGCGCCGGCCGGGCTCGATGCAGTCGGGCCTTGCTGCCGGTACGGGGCCGTTGGCTTCGCCAGAACGCGTCAACTCTCCGCGGACCGTGTCACCATCGAACCGGGGCCCTTCCCTTTCACCAACGCTAACACCCAGGAGCGGATGCACGAAACCACCGCGTGAGATCGAATAGTGGACATTGGTCATTTAAGTTCCGATACATCCGATAGAAGCGTATGCGCTTGTGTCAGGCTGGTCAAAACTGGCCCACCGCCACATATCCGGGACAGATCGCCTCCATCGCTTGGTCGGGCTCCAGCTTTGCCAAGAAGCTTCGCGTCAAGTGTACCAAGCTATTCTCCAAGCAATGGTCCTACGGGTTCCGCAGCGACAACAAGTGCCAGCGTGCCTTTGGTCTGGCAGCCTGTGCCAATGGGACTCGGACTCCGATGGCCTCAGGCATCTGAGCTTTGCACAGGGTATCGCAGCGAGGGCAATCTCTGAAAGGGATAGCTGTGCGGTGAATGCACCTGAATATCCTGAATGCAGTGTGTGTGTGTGTGTGTGTGCCAGGTGGCGGTGACCCAGTCCTTGAACACGGCTCGTCAGTCGCCACCTAGGCAGCCACCTGCGGCACTCTCGGCGGCCAAGGCTCCTCCACAGTATGCGCGGATTGTCACGCCATTACGACAGCTCCCAAACACCCCTCGGGCCACGCCGTTCCCCTTCCAGTGGCAGCCGTCTCTATCACAGCTTCAGAACGTGGCGTCTGTGACATCTTCAACCATCTCAAGCCCGGCGCTTCTCACCCCGCGTCGCGTGGCAGTGTCGCCGGCGCCACACCGGCCAGCAATCCAGGAGCAAACTCAGCGATCTCCCCCAGGACCGCTTTCATACCGGCCAGCTATTCCTGCGCAGCAGCCAGCACCCACAGAACGACCCAAAGAGGGGAAAGAAAGGCTGGATGTGGCATGCCCAAGCGATGGGCATCTTGGCTTCGGCCTTCCGGTCTGTGGAATGCGGCATGTGGCTCTTGATCGCCTGGGCTGCGGCTGAGGCAAGGGGAAGCCGGCCCGCAGCCGACCCCGACCTTCTCCGCATCCGGCCAGAACTTACGTAAGGAGCGTTTGTCCTTCGCCAACCCTTGCCGAGAACGCGAATCCAAGGGGCGCGGGCTCGCTGTGGATCCAAACTCGCACCTTGGCAAACAGGCTAAACTCTAAACCCCCGTGCGTCAGCCATGTTTTTCCGACTCAAGGCTTCCAGCGACGAGTGGTGAAATCTCTGGAGACCAGTCTGAGGTGCCGTGAGTTTGTGGCTTGTAGTGTGAAGCTCGAAGCGCATTTCTAGCTGCATGCTGCCTGTAGAAGGTGCCCAGTTCACAGGCTCTAGCCTGGGAGAGAGTGACAGTTCAGAGACGGGTGCCGGGCTTTACCAAGCTGGTGGGGAACCGCAGCAGCGTTTTCAGACAGCTTGCATGCACGGCTGAGGCTCATGCCGTCTGATCCTTGCGCCAAAGCCTGTGCAGGAAACGGATATGAGATGGGAGTGCACGCTGTGGGCATTTGTTAAATTAGATATGTCCTTGCACTGCAAGAACCTATGTTGCGAAATGGATTCAGGAGACAGTAGATTCTAAAATCACCTGCATCTTGCTCCCTCTGTGCACTTCGCAGCAACTTGCGGAGCACCAGTGAGCGTGAGCGTGAGCATCTTTGCAAGGCATGAAAATTTGGAACAAAGATTTCCAAGCCATGTGTGCTCTTGCCCTCTCGCCCTCCTCGTCTTCGGTTCCACTGGACAATCTTGAGCCCAGTGGCCCAGTTTTGTCGCCCTGCCGTGAATATCTCAGAGTCCACCGAGTCCAGCTTCTGGTAAGGGTCTGTAAACTAGAAGGTTCCGACAGGGAGCTCGATCTTAATGCACCACGGATGGTTTAGCATGCTGATGGAAAAAGATTGCTTTTTGGGCAGCCATGGCAGTTTCCTACACGCAGGGTACTCGTAGCCTCCAGCGCTTGATTCCAGCTCTCAAGGCCTGCTAATCGATGGGCTGCCGTTGGAAGAGGGCTGGGGGCCTGAGCATTTTGATCATTTGGTTTGAGCAGGCCGGAGTGAAGGGCAGACCCGGTGTTTGGCAGAGTCCTAGCAGGCCGGAAGTGGTAGTTTTGCACAAGGCGTTCATTGGTCATTCGCGGCTTACTGCAGACCAGGTTTGTGCCGACTGATCTGGTTCGGTGCGTTGGGATCTCAGTAGGGCATTTGAGTTTGTTCTGGTCGTGCATGGCTCCGGCAAGGGCAGGATTGCAGGATTCGTCCTTCAAATGGGATGGAGAAGAAGTGATGTTAAGCCAAAACTGGGCCAAAACGATGCACAGAGGGCTGTTGCCCCATTGCGATGGAGAATAAGTCCTGTTGAGCAGAGACGATGCATAGATGGCTTTTGCGACAGAGAGTCGGTCGTAAAGCTGCCTAAGCAGCACTCAAGTGCAGAAGGCTCTGGGGCTGCATCAGCGAGGCCGTCATCATGGCAGCTGCGCCGCGACCTAAGTATCCCGCCTTTTGCTGCAAAGCAATCTGTACTGCGACTGTTGCTGTAGCGAGGTGCTCGAGTGCTGATCCCTTCAGCAGTCCCACCCGGAGTGCCTGCACAATAAGAAGCAGCTCACTCGTCACGTAATCCATGTCTCTCAAGCATTGGCGCCGGGGAAGTTGATTTGAGTCGTAGGATGTACATGGACAGCGATGCTGCCTACCGCGCAAGCCTGCTTCGGGCCAAGCTCGCCAGATGGTGCTGGCACATCAGCATCAGAAGCGTTGAGCACTGTAGGCGGCGCTCCTGGATAGCCCGCCGCCGCTTCGATGGAGGCCACTTCTCGGAGCCGATCATGTTGGCGACTCAGCAAAGGTGAGCACGCGAGCATTGCAGAGGCGCGTGCGCTTGCGTCAGGCTGTTGAGGCTCTTCTGTCAGTGGGCAATGCGCTTTTGGACAGTCTCGCAGTCAGGACCCGCGATGCGCGAGCGCGAGCGTGTGCGATTATCGAGCACCCGAGCAGCCCGAGCCGAGCTTGGTCAGGAAAGCAGAGGCAGAACTTCCAAAAGGGCTGGGACCAAGCCGCCTGCTTGCTGGCCAACGAGGTCGATGCCCATGCGGGAAGGACCGGTCGGACATAATTGTGGCTACCACTTCCAGCGGCTGATGGGTACTTGCATACGTCTGCATCGCTCACATGCTTGCGGAAAGTGCATTTGTCCGAGGGGGGACGGGTTTGTATCTGGCCGGGTGTACTCGCGCGTGAGTTGCGGCCAGAACATGATGTTGCATCTTAGTGACTTGATGATCGTCACTGGATCATTCGTGTGGAGGATGCAGAAGCTTGTGGGCAACGTTGCAGACCTCGCCGAGCGTGTCCGCCTGGGCCATCTGCCTGGAGGAAATCGTACAACCACGGCTGCGAGGAAGGAGCTTGGCGGCTCGGCCATTGATCCAGCAAGGTGTGTCCTACATTACATAGCAGAGAGGCACTTCTCATTCTCATGGCCTTTCGTGGACGAACACTCTTTTCTTAGGGATGCCGCGTTGCGGGGTTGCGGCGTTCTTCTGAGGTCGACTGCTCTCGTTTCTCCATGGCGAGGGCCCGAAGCCAAGCCTTCGCGCGGAAGCTCCACGGCTGCGGGCCGTGCTTGCAGCCGCGTTCTGCCACTGGATGACTTCAGATTTTTTTTCAGATATCGTCTTCTCCCTCTGCGTCTCCCCGTCTTTTTTGGGTATGCTGGGAAGATTTCTTGCCTGATTCGGAGACTGGCTGATGGCCGGCGAAGTCCCAGGCGAGCAGCTCCTGATCGGGAGGCGATTCATGGATCAGCTGCGTGCTCCTGCGCGTGGGAGTGGCCGTGCTGCTTCCATCATGGCTGGGCCTCGTGGGAAGACGATAGGCGAGGAGGAGGAGGCCACGGTCACGGCCACGGTCACAAAATCTTCCGAGCCAGAGCCGAGTATCTGTGCAGGCACTTCAAGAGGGCCATCCTGCGGATGGAGCAGGCTTCAACATGATTCTGGATGACGACGACTTCGATCTTGAGGAAGAGTTTGACGACTTCGAGGATGACGAGGCCGTGGGCGCCTAGGGCACAGAGTCAGTAAGTCAGTCAGGTGCAGATGTGTCAAGGCAGTGTGGAGCGGCCAGCGGCCAGCATTAGTCAAGACTTAGTCATGGTAATGGTAAGAGCGAGAGAGCCGGCTGAACCGACGAGCGCAGCACGGAAAGTTACCAGTGCCGCGCCGATCCTCGGATGCCGGGGTCGGATGGGAACAGTGTGGAACTGCGGTCGTGCGGGGAAGCTGGCCAGGATGTGGAAGCGAAGCTTGCGAAGTCCAATGCTCAAAGTCGGCAAATCCTCCAGCTGCAACTCCTTGCAATCCTTTCCCGTCTTTTACCAGCATTTGACCCACAACAGTGATGAATGGCTTCTCTTCATGTCGAAGAGATCATTTGTGCGCAAGCAGGAAGAGCCTGAGGATGACGAGGACGATGCCGAGGATGCCGATGACGAGCAGGATGGGGATGACGGTGATCTTGAGGAGGACTCAGAAAGAGTCCTGGACGCATCCAACATGTTCCCACATTGCTCGAAGATACTCGAATGCGTTTGCATTCATGCCCGCGCACATTCGACACTTCCAAAAATTAAAATGCTGAGGCAACCAGCTGGTCTTAAATGAGGATGATGCATCAAGTCGCCTTCCATGGAAGAAGGCCGGCCTGTTGGAGCTGCATGTGCGTAGCTATATAACTCCAAAGCTTGGCGGTGCAAGGCACGGAATGAGATGCTGATGGCGGTGAATTCTCTGCCAGTTCCATGCTGTGTTACTTTGTGCTTGTCGTACGTTGTTTATGAGGCTCGGTTGGTTTTTGCTGCGTGTTCCAGTGGTCTGGCAATGTGCGAGGTTACGGGCAGAAAATACCATCACAGAATCCTTGTGAGCAAGATCAAGACTTCACAGAAGGCGCGCCAGTCCGATCTTTCTGTAACCACATGGCAACTCAAAGGGCAAGACTACGCGCCCAAGCGGGAGTGTGTGTACTCGCCATGTCCAAGCAGGACTCGCCTGGCAGTGTTACAATGGACCAGCATCTTGTCTAAAGGTTGTCGTGCAGTGTGTGAGCGAGCGACAGGGAGCGAGAGAGAGAGGAGAGGAGAGAGAACGGGAGAGAGAGAGAGAGGTCTTGACCCCTAAGCAAGTGTAGGGGGGCAACCCCTTGCACCACAACACTGGCGAAACCCCTGCATCATAGCCCCGACGAAAGAAAGAACATCCATCGGGGCACAGCGATCGCTACTCCATGTGGCTGCGTTGAAGAAGAGATAGATGTTGTGAAGTTGGCAAACGTTCTGGGCAGATTTGTGGAGGAGCTGGCTGTCGCTGGGGCTAAGGACCAGTGCATGCCCGCGTACGACGGGTAGGTTTACTAGGTTTGGCTGTGTCGCAGAGAAAGACTTCTAGACCTGAGGAGTTTGCAAACATGGCTGGGAGCACTGACAAAGCGGCGACTGCAGCCTAGTTTTTTTGTGTGGGTAAGTCGATCCTAGGCTTAATTGAGACGTTGAACAGTCCGTGCATCAGGCGTTTGCAAGTCTTGCATTTATAGTTACTCTTCTCGGGGCCGGGTCTCTAAGACTTCAGACTTCTCAGTTTCCTCCACTCCAATACGACGTGCGCACTGGGCGGGGCGGGGGGTGGGGCGGGGAAGCCCTCCTCTTGAAAGAAAGATGGTGACTTCCCTCTACTGCGAGGCTGCCCAATATGATAACACAGCTGTGTGGTCGGCCCCCACAGTTTGTGGCCAAGGACCTTGCAACTGAAGCTTAATTCTCAAGTCCATCCGTTCCAAACGGTGCTGTGGTCGAGGAGGGCAAGAAGTCCGAGTTTGCAGCCGTGGGGGGCACAGCCTCAACGCAATCTTGCACAGGCTGCAGTGTCAGATGGCCATCATGAGGTATGTTTCCCTCCGGAATCCATCAAAGAGTTTGGGCCTCACTGAGTAGGGCTGGCTAGGCTTCGGAGTTGGAATCAATACCATACAGCTGCATTCTTCCGGCAGTTGTTCACTCAAGAGAAATGCCGAACTTGCATATGTCCGTAGATTTTGCTTGTTCTTTGCTTCATGGAGCTTTCGGTCAACTCAGCACGGGAAGAAGTTCAGCTGGCTCTGAAGTTTAGGTTATCGGGGGTTTTGTTGTTGGTGATGCGCCTAAGCTGACTGTGACCTAAAATGATGCCGAGCTCAGGCTTCGCCTGGCACTGGGCCCGGCACCGGCCCAGCCACCTGTCCTGGCTGGGGCCAGCGCCTCCGTCAGCCTTGCCCATGCGCAGTGGCCTCGGTGTGTCGTTACACTTGGATGTCTTCGAGTCCTTTACTTAGTTCAGAACAAGGTGGCCGGGTTGGTTGTTGCAGTGTGCACCTCTTATCGACATGACAGGTCACTCATGAACAAAGCCTGACTTTAGGTTCAGTCTGGGTGCACTCCTCGTCGACTTCGCAGGAGAGGTCATAGTTGTGTCCTCAGACCACGCATCAGATTTCGAGACTGGTGGGAGGCGATGCGCTGCTTGCAGGTTGTTCGAGTCACCAAGGCTCGGCCGAGCTCGCCGTACCAAATCACCTTCTTCCTCCCAGAAAAGAACACCCGAAACGAGGAGGACTGTGTGTGTGTGTGTGCGTGTGCAAATTTTCGGATTCTCAAGTTGATGGAGATGCCTCTTGAAGGAGAAGCAGAAACAAGTGAAAGGATTGCTCGAAGCTCGCAATCCGCTTGGCCCCTTGTCCCAGGAGCTTCCGGAGGGAGTCTGTGTACATCGAAGTAGGAGATCTGAGCTCGAGCGAGTCTCAGGCTTTCCCTGTCATATGAACGCCGGTGATGACTTCTTCTGCAAACACCCTCAGTGTCTATCGCGTTTGCTGCAAGTGTTGCGCTTTGCCTTTGCTTGCTTATGAAATCGGCTCGGAGGGGGCGTAGGTACCCGCAGGAATTAGGATCCAGATTGTGTTAGCAAGAGTCATGACGTCCAAGCAGCTTTGTGTCTCGAGGCACGGCTTCCAGCCTGCAGCTGCTGAACTCCAGGCTCGCGGGGCGGCTCGCAGATGTCAATTGGGAGGAAGCGCAAAGGAAGTAGATCGCCCTTCCTAGAGCTTCTCCGAGGACAGCTGTGCGCGCGACAGGCCCGACCTCTAGCCGGCACCATGACGGAAACAAAATAGCTGCAGCTTTTAAGAGCACGGCACTTCTGTTCTTGCATGTTGTATGCATGGCTGCGGCAGGTGAAGAGGTCAAGCAATAAACAGGGTTTTCTGATTTCTAGGGGACCAGTCCATCACCAGAAGACACTCTGAGCTCCACCAGGCGACCGTCCGAAAGGCTTAAACCTGGAAGGGCTCGCTTCGGATTGAAGATGCCTTCTGAGGCTTTGCGAACCAAACAGTTTTGGCTTTGGGTGAGAACGCCCGCGAGTGCCCAACAGCCCGCAACCCAAACCCCGGAACCCGAAACGCCCCAAAGCCCCCCCAAAACTCTAAGCTTTAAGCACTATTGGCCCTAAGCCCGGTCAGAGCCAGAGCTTGCGCTGATAGGATACGCTGCTGCTAGCGCACTAGGCCCTGAGACGTAAGGGTTTAGGGCGAGAGGGAGAACGGGAAGTCTAGGGCTTGGGCCTGAAGATTTCAGTGCTAATCACCGAGACAGCTGAAGCGGAGGCGAGAGCACTTGTATTGGCGCAGTGACACTGCCAGTCGCCAATTTTCAATTCCTTGAGGTCCTTTGAAGTGGCACGCGGAACCATCCGCCGCTTGCTATCGCCGTGAGTAGCCTTGAAGCAGCCTTAAACCTTAATTTTTCTGGACTGGCAAACTCTTAGAGTTCGGTGCAGTAGCAGTTGCAGTAAAAGGTCGTATCCGTGCAAGTTCTGGCTCTGATCTTGATCTGACAGCCTGACAGATGTCAACAGGAAAGCCTTCAAGACACCATGACCAAAAGCAGAGAGGTCCCGATGTTCCCGATGAAGCGCGTTACTATTGGAACGAAACGCAGCAACTTCACCTCTCAAGAGAAGATGTGGGCAGCGGTTGGTTTTGGTTGCAACCTGGCAGGACCTGACGCATTGGAACGTGGGGACTGGCAGTGTGATTGCACCAGTATAAGTGCTGCCGATGAGGCGTCAAGAGATAAGAGACAAAGTGGCCTCTGCTAACGGCGTTGCTTTGTATGTCTTGACCTTCCAGCGACAGCTCAAAGACCTCTCCGGATGCTACGAGTACTTCGGCGATTACAGCGAGAGCCCTTGCTTCAAGCGCTATCAGGCGCCTCGGCACTTCCGGATGAAGTCCGGCAAAGGACTCTGGACTTTGGGTCATCTAAGACAAAGCCTGCAAGGACCTGGGCACAAGCAACAGTCTTGTGCATTTTGTAGGCCCAGACAAGAGCCTGGAGAAGGCCCGTTGCGAGGTGATGGACAAGTGGCGTGAGCCTGCACCTGCATCATCTTCCGCGCCGAGTGCGCCTGCTTCATCTTCTGCGCCGCCCGCGCCGCCTCCCGCCATGCCAAGGACAAAGCGGAGGGTATGCATCGGCTATCAGGCTATCAGATGGAGGTCGTGCGAACATACTTCACCGAGGTGCATAGTCGCAGTCCGCGCCCTCTCCGGACAAGACACGGCGAGGACTGCGACCTGACAGTGATCTGCGAGGTCTTCAAGAGACAGGTCTACAGGCCCTCTGGTGTGCCACAACAGCCCTTGCTTCAGGGCGGAAGTTTCCGCAGCTTTTCCTGTGAAGTCCGGCGCTAGACTATGGGATACAAGGCAAAACCGCAAGGACCTGGGCGCAAGCAACAATCTTGTGCATTTTGCAGGCCCAGACAAGAGCATGGAGAAGGCCCGTTGCGAGGTGGTGGACAAGTGGCGTGAGCACCTGCATCATCTTCCACGCCGAGTGCGCCTGCTTCAGCCAGAGGCATCGGGATCTGGCAGCGAGAACGAGGACACGTTTGCGTCGGATGAGGAAAACCAACAGGCACCAGTTGCTGAGACATCCGCACGCGGCGAGGTATCATTTGGTGAGTCATAAAATGGAGACGCGGAGCGGTTGCCCCGGGAACAGGAGGCTCTGGCCAGGGAGACGGGGAGCAGCATGGGCATTATCGACACGAAACTATGGCGATCGTTCCTGTGTTTTGTGCTGGAATACTTGGTCATACAACCGGCAGCACACATTTGCACGGGCTCCTGATTGGCGTTGGACGCGGCGCGAGCCAGTGTAGGCTCATGCTGCGTGCGGGCTTGCGCGAGAAGGCGCTGCCCTTGATGGACACCTTTCGGCGAGATCGCTCCGCGGACATGTATAAAGTATTTACGCGGCTTTGGCCAGATTTGATCATGACTGGAACGCGCCACGCCGCCGGACAAAGCGGAGGGTATGCATCGGCTATCAGGCTATCAGATGGAGGTCGTGCGAACATACTTCACCGAGGTGCATAGTCGCAGTCTGCGCCCTCTCCGGACAAGACACGGCGAGGACTGGGACCTGACAGTGATCTACGAGGTCTTCAAGAGACAGGTAAGGACCTGGGCACAAGCAACAATCTTGTGCGTTGTGTAGGCCCAGACAAGAGCGTGGAGAAGGCATCTGCGCAGTGTGGACGAATGGGGAGCCTGCATCCTCCTCCACGCTTGCGCCAACGCCGGCCGAAGCCACTCCCGCCATTCCGAAGCCCAAGCGCAAGGTTGTCATTGGACATGCGATCGCCTCCGTGACATCAGTTATGCACTATTCAAAAGAAAGTGCAGATGTGGTACGACACGGGCAAGGGGCACACAAGGCGTATATCAGGATCAAAGAGTACGTCTACTGCAGCTCCAGCTAAAGTGCCAGCTCCAAAACCAGGAAAGCATGGCTGCGGAATGCCGCATGCTCATTCCGGTCGCATGCAAGGAACCAGTGGTGGACTCCCAACAACTTGGAATTGATGCATGTCGACTTAAAGAAGCCGCAGTCAGCATGCTCTAAGCTACGGTGAGTTGAAGAAGATGCCGATGCCCCACCCGAATACTTGTGCTGGTTGCAATGCAAATGAAGAGGATGGCACGACAGGGCAATAATTGTAGCAACGCATTGCGTGACGACTTGTTGTTCGTTGCAGAAAGTCATTGCGCAAGCTGGCTCGCCATGATTCGCCACTCCGTGAACACTGGTTTCACAGCCTGTAGAAGGAGGGTCACATGACATTCGCAGGGTCAGGCACGTGCCGATCTGACAAGATGGCGTGGGCAGGACAAATTTGCAAGTGCACGCAGTGCCGGAAGTGCCATCGGCTTTGCACAGCGACATGTTGCCAGCTGGAAGGTGTGACAATTTTCAATGCAGCAGCGGGCTCAGTGTCCGGATACAGCAGTTCGGTGGCCTTCACTTCTGGTCTGAGGTTGAGATCCTATATGCGATCGCTGCCGTTTGCCACGAGCTTAACAAGTGAGCACGCCTCAACTTACGCTGCACCGCACGTGGATGCTGTGGCCTGCGCAGGCCCGGACCGAACCATAATGTCCGTCCGCTTGGGCCCGGGGCCTGCAGGCGAGATAGTGCACGAGCGAGGAAGTGCTGTGCACTTCGGTTCGGCAAAGTACAGGAGAGTCTCCTGGAGCCCCGGAACACATCACTGCTGTGAAGGCAGCGTGGGGGTATGGTGAAGAGAGTGGTGCGCGAACGTTTTATGAAATGCGGTGAGGTCTGGGGCTGGGAGGTAAGCCTCCTTGGAGACGATCGCGGCGACGGTTCCGGTGTGCCTGCGGAAGCGGCGATTGAGGCTAGAGAATGCGAGACTGCTAGAGAAGTCACTAGAGGCTCGTGGGACTCCGTGAGGCCATGTCCGCGGTGCGGAAGAGCATCAGGGATGCCATGAAAGTCACGCCGTGGGATCCTCTCAGTCTTTGGACAGGGCCATTCCCAGCGGAGTTCTGAGCCAGGTCGGAAGAGACGCCGGCTCCTTCCTTGGGTGAACCGATAGCACCCAAACCACACCCGAGTCCGCATAGCACCAAGGCAGGAGACGGCAGGTCACGCAAGCTCCAGAGAGAGAGGCCTACGCTGTTGCGATCTGTTGCTGTTGCTGTATAGTGCCACCATCGAAATAGCCAGAACTTTCGCTTGGCACGGCAGGTTTGAAGCCGAGATGCCCTCAAAGGTCCTGGATGGGCTGCTCAGTCTGGTGGTGGAGGTGCCAAGCCGTTACACATCCAATGGCTGATGCCTCGATCCGAAGGCGTCCGAGCACCTCGCCAGCACCATTGAACCAAAGATGCGAATGTCGGTCTCGCTCTTGGCCCCCACCATGTCCGGACTGTTGCACAGCGCACAAGCTCTCCCCAAGCTTCCAGGAGTCGTACGCGGGATCCTCAGAATTCCCCTTGCCGCCTACAGAATGAGGACAGTTGTGCCAACTCGGGCAGGCTCGAGGACGGAAGCGTCGAGAGAAGGCGAACAAGGCGATTCAACTGACAGTTTGGTGTGAGTGACAATTTGATTTCGAAGCGCCGGCTGACTATTTCCCAACAGCCCGTTTGCGGCCCCCCAACCCCGACTGCTCGCCAGTGTGCCCTCGTCTAGCAACCACCTGATGCTTCAGCACTGTGCTTGGGCTGCCAGATATGATGTTCGTGCTTCTCACCGTGTTTAGGGGGTTAGTTGCAGGGGTTTAGGGTGTACCCTAGACACTAGACCCTAAGCCAGCACAGGTGGCAACCTTCAATGCGGGGTTGTCGAATGTGTTGACGCCTGTCTTCTGTGGTTGCATGCTTGCAAGTGCATCAGCAGGCGACATGGGCAGAGGTCCTTTTGGCTGGGGAGGCAGGTAGCAGTCAGGCCGTTGAATGCAGTGCCGCGACTGGCAAGCGACATCGCATCCGCAGGAGACCGGTTTCGTTGACTTCTTGCGGCCGTTGGCCTGGCACTCGGAAAATCACGCTTGAGCGTATTATGACATGCTTGTCGTGAGGAGTTGAGCACGGACCCTGATGTGGTGTCGAAGCGCGAGAGTCGGAGGATGAGGCCTTTGTGCGACGGGAGTCCCGCGACAGTGGCGAATGACGTCTGTGTACGATGTTGAGAAGGATCGGCCAGAAATCGCCAAAATTCCGTTGCCCTGTTTGCCAAGAGGCCAGCCTCACTGCAGATTACATGGTTCGTGTGCAGTCATCCAGTAAATGTGCTTGCATGAGCCTGTGCTCTCGTCACTCGCCATGTTGACTTGAGTGTGCAGCCATGGTCAAGTTAGTTTTCTCCAACATTCTCCAAGGACGCCGTAAATGGTGCACTTCTGGTATGCTATAAAATGCAGGTTGTCTCTTGCCAACTGCATGAGATGCGCCACGGCTGTCTCGTCTTCTGTTGCTGCTGTTGTTCCTTCTGAGTGGCCCGTGAGATTGAGAGAGCAGCTCTGTTGACTTGAGATTGAGAACTAGTTTTCTGATTTGTACCGTTCCCAACTCCGGGGAGGAACAGGTTCTGCTGGACAAAACTCGCGACGGCATTTCTGTAACTGACGGCGCGACAGCTCAGCAGCAGTCGCCACGGCACGGCCTGTTGCGGTCAGGTTGTGCACCACGGAGCTTTGGTGCAGAGGTATAGGCTGCTCGCGTGGATTTAGGCGCCGTCATCTTCTAGCTAATCGTATTCCATCACCTTGTATGTGTTCTTTCTGACGACGCTGCTCCGTGTTTCTGCCTTTCAACAACGACATCAGATCTCTCGTGGTTTTTTCTTTGCACTGACGACAACCTCGTGAGACTGATGGCCCTCAGCTACTCGCCGGGTATGCCTCAGTGCGGATGTACCGCACAGGCTGTCCAGATATGTGAAGCTGCGCGTGCGGTCTTGTGGTGGACTGTGATGGCTGATGGTCACTATGGCATCATGGCTTCGTGTTTTTCTGGCATGCTATGTGGGGCCGAAGGCCCAAGCTCGGACATGTGGGCGTGGGGTGGGTCGTGGTGCTGCCGCTTCGTTTGTGCTCACGGACACCCGATGCTGCCATGAGGGATTGCAGGCCTGGCTCTCACAGCTCCGATTCGCTCAGTCATGAATTGGATGCATTGACTTTCGCTCAACAGGCCTCACTTATTTTGGATGTGCAACTGAGGCAACGTTGCACGAACGGGCAGTACTCTCGTGCTTGATGTTAACCATGCAGAAGCTGCGTGTAGACCTCGAAGTCTAACTTCCGTATCCCGTTACATTGATTGTATGGTCCCCATGGCCGACAACGATGCTGCATCGCTTCGCGGCCTTCGCAAGCCTTTGCGGGACGCAGGCGTCCATGGTGTCATCTCTTTTCTGCTCTCTCTGGAGACTGGCGCAGCTGTGCACATGCAGAGGCTGTGGTCGGCCCGTCGAGCGGTTGTGGCTCGCACCGGCGCTGCACGAGCCTGGAACCAGGTGAATGGCTGGCGCCAGGAGAGTGGCTCACGAGCCCAAATGTGCCTCGGCCTGGCGACGGCCTGTAACGGATGCAGAGAGAGCAGAAACTGCTGGTAGCCGGTGACTCACGGAGCTCTCGGAAGTCTGCTGACTCAGGATCGGTACATTGCAGTCTTGCAAGCAGACTTTCTCGAAGTCCTCGAGACAGAAACTCATCAAAGTGAGTGCAATCAGTGCAATCTCCATACATCCACTTTGCATCTTCGCGAGGCGAGCTTCAGAACCCGGTGGGCAACTCCAGCTGAAGGAAGAAGAGTTCAATCGAGCGATGCTCAACAGCAGCTTGGAGTAGGATCGGCAAATATCGGCAACATCGCTCCTCCTGCAGCCGGCCGAGGGTGTTTTGACAGCTGCACATGTGGCGGATGGCAGCTTGCTTCTGGAAGCTGGCATTGATGGGGGTGGGCCGTGGATTCAGCACCTTCCGCATCAAAGGACTGGGATTGCAGCTTCCTCTTAGGTGCAGGTGCACTACTTCATGAAAGCACACTCGGATCAGATCCCTGATCCAGCAGTCTTCAGACTTACAGGAGCGTCAACATCCGCTTCACGATCACTGCCACGCGTGGTGGCGGTGATGCACGTATGCCTCAGGGCGTACAGTTGTCAGAGTTTCTGCTCTGGCGTGCAGGCACTCAGTGCTGTTTCGGTGATTCCGCTTCTTCTGGTGCCTGTATGCCTTGAGCCTAGTGCTTTAGATGCCCCAAAACTACCACATCAGGCAAGCCAGTCCAGCCAGCTGCATCCAACGTGAGCTGCACTGCCGGTGTGGGCCCCTCCTACCAAGGAGTAGTGAAGTGCAAGGCAAAATCAAGCTGTACTGCACAATATCGTGTAGTCTCAAAGACTTCTTGCAGGACCTCGGAATGCAGTGGATGGAAACTTGAGAACCAAGTGGTGGGTGTCATCGGAGCCCAATGTCACCCTGGTCCGTGGCTTAGCATCTCCTCGGATGTGCTTTTCGTGATGTTCCGAGCATGGGATGCTTGCCTATAGAACTGAGTCGAGACACTACAGAGACTTGCGAGGCGATGGATTTTTCGCACCTCCCTCGCGATGGACCCTTCCTTTTTGGCTTTACGACCGGCGATGACATGCCCTCACGAGATCCTGCGAGCCGACCGCAAGGAGCAGCGAGGCACCGGCTCTACGCCCTCCTGCCTCAGGTCCAGTGGCTCCTGGAAGCCTCGCTGGATGGACAGTCGTGGATGGAGCTACACCGCCAAGACAGGGCTCGCCATCTTTCTTCTGCCTTCATGAAGTTGATGTGCAGATGGTTAGTAGTACGTGAGTATCGCAGGACACAAACTTTGCCACGCCGACGTCGCGGTTTTCAATGACGCGGCTGTTCGATGTTACGACGAAATTTGTAGAGCTGCTGGGCCGAGCCCACGTCGATGAGAGAAGGCTTGGCACAGGACGGTACGGTTTAGAAGAAGTGCTTCCCACCATGGGCCAGGAACTCGCCTTCCAACGCAGCTCTGCCGGTGGCCATGGTGTTGACGGACCTGGGTGCTCTTACACTCAAACAACGCCGGGCGCTGAAACGCATGGAGATGTTACCCGTGCAGGAAAGGGTGAAGGCACCAGGGCACGGTGCCACGATAGAATCTGATTGCGACCTGCTTGTTCGAGGCAGCTCCTTCCTCAGCCGCGACCCTGTTTCCAATGATTCTCCCGGGATGGCCATCTGTTGAATGGGGTGGAGGCGGCGGAGAGGAAAAGCCTCTCAACCGCTGCCATCACATCGCATCTGCCGACTGTAGTATACAGTGAGATATCGTAAAGTGCTGCAGGTAGCAAAGCTAGGACACTAGGCGCTGCGCCGGGTGTTCGGGTCGGAGAGCAAGGGCTGCTTGGCTGCAGCTATGCCATGCTCGGTTCAAGAAGAACCACATGGAAGCGCAGCGTAACCGTGGGGCGGCCAGTGGAACCGCGGAGAAAGAAGAGTTGAAACCCGTTCTGTTCTTGAGCACATTGAAGTCACTGAAGCATGGTTGTGGCTGTGTTGCTCTGAAGAAGTTTCAGGTGTTCGTGCGCGCGAAGGCCCGGCTTCAGAGTGTGAACCCGGCTGGGGGGGGGGGACATTGGGCCTGAACCGGCCGTAACGTGACAGAACAGGCTTGCCGCAAGCATCTAAAGCAGACCGGCCACCTGTCTTGCGCGCCTGGCCGCGATCCCAGAGTCGCACAAGGCCCACGAGCGACAGCTCCGGTGATGAGTGTGCCGGAGTTCCTGCGGTGAAACTCAGGACAGACCTGGAGGAGTCTGATCCAGGACAGGCCGCTTCAGGCAGCTGATTGTCGGTCGAGACTTCTGCGTGTCTATCATGTCTATAGACATGTGCCAAACTCGCGGTGGGTGCCCACTGTGCGGCCGGGAGACCGAGAGCTGGTCGCGAGAGCGCCGAGAGAGAACTGAGATGCGAAAGATGTTCCAAGATGTGGACACCTTTAAGCGTTGTGAAGACTTCCCATGATCTCAGCTTAGTCCTGGAACGCCATACACATGGCTTCGCCTAACAGGTGTGATATATGCAGACTGGTGTTGTGGATTGTCGCTCGCGAGACGGCCAAGCTGGTCGTAAAAATGAGTAGAGGGATGATTACGGGCTCGTATTGACCTCAGTCAGTGCAGACACTAAGGAGATGGACAGTGAATTGCGAGGGATTTTTTGCATCAAGGCCGCAGGCCGCAGGCCGCAGGCGCGCAAACATGGGCGGGAGTGTGCCTCGCCTGGCGCGCAGGAGAAGTGCCTGGCTGACAAAGCTCAGGGACAAAGCTCCTCTCCTGACCGGCCGGCTTCTTGAGCTGAGTGGAGAGGCGGGCCGCAAGCTCCTTTTCGTGCCCTTCCCAAAGGGAAGTCTCGTGCGCCCTCACTGCTTATGGCAACCCGATTCTTGGTGGAAGAGGGCCCTGCGATCTGCTGACGTTTCGCGGTCGTGGCTGGAACATGTTGCAGTAGATTCTTGCCAGCTTCTCGATGTAAGCGGTATGCGCAGCAAACTCGTCTGGCCCAAAAAATGCGGGATGGCGAGCTTGGGGCTCACGTTGCAAGTCCCCTTCAAGATCAAGCCTCGAACGTCGTCACGCAGACCTGCACAACTTTGTAAGTGTGTTTTGGAGTGGCAAGGACTGGTGCATACGGGCTTCTTTGGCCTGCATAATCATATGTTCTGTGAGGGATAGGGTTCTGGAATGTTCTGGATGATCAAAGAACTTATTCCTGTAACGCCCGACCTGTGATTTTGTTTCAACTCGTCATTTTACAGTCTGCAGTGCCTGCTACGATGGGCTTCAGAAACAAGCAGAGATTACAAAAGACAGTGCCACCACTCACTACTCCTGCGCGATCACCAACTGGTAATAAGTGGAATGTGCATATTCACTTCGGGTCGTAAACCGTCTTAGCGAGCCTTCGGTCCAAGCTTTCATGCCAATCGCAAAGCTGGAAAGTTGCGCTGATGTTGGCTTCAGAGGACGGCGAAGAGATTACAATCGTGCTGACAAGCCTCTAGTCCAGAGCAGCTGTAACAATGAGCCACGAGTTGCGTCAAGTGACAGGCTATGCAGGCTCCACCCTGGGCGAGGGAGGCTGCCCGGCTTCCTTCTGCCCGATGGAGGGGTGCCCCTGTTTGCACACTTGCAAAGGGCTCGGAGCTTTTTTTGTAGCCGTCGTCCGAAGCTTGACATGCTGCGAGCCTTGGTCTGCCCTAGCCCTGGATGATGCCCTTTAGGCTCAATGCCCTCATTGTAGCTCGTAGTTTCACGAAAAGGTCAAAACAGCACTGCCGACGCCTTTTTGATTTTTATCCGTGCATTCGGTGACGAAAATTGGTGCAAGAATAAAATGTATGTCTCAGCAAGAGTGTCTTACGTCATTGGCATACCAAGCCCAACAGAGGCGACTCTTCTTTGACGTGCTAGTCGTGCTATGTAGAAGCCATCGCCCCTTGCATTGCGGCGTCGCCTAAGGTCATCACGGCTGCATACCGGCATGACATGACTCTCAGCTGTTCTCTGCGCATGCCAGCCCCAGAGCCACTTCTCCCTTCCCTTGCTGCCTGGCATTGCCTGACTGGGCAACAGCCGAGGTGACGCAGGCATTGATCGATTTCTGCGACACTGGCAAAACAGACTGGGGTTCTCAAAGTTGAAGTCACTAGCAGAGCATCCGTGCACACCTCAAAACTGTATTCGCCGAGGCATTGCAAGTATATTTTGGTGCACGACATAGGCTGACAGAATTAGTGGAATTAGCTGCCCATGCGCGCGTTGACCCGCAACGAGCCGCTGGAACGCCACAATCTGCCGAGCACTCAGCAGACCTTGAACGATTCCAGGCTATCGCTGAAAGCATCTTGCAGCAAGGCCAGGCAGCGCTCCCGGTGTAGTAGTGGACGGAGCTGGGTCGACTGAAGCCAATGGCATCTATGTTAGAACTGGCTTCAAGGCGCCTCGCCGCAGTGTGCAGATGAGTCCTCTCTTGGGTCTTGCCCACTGACTGAGGTAGCCAACACCGAGGTTTTCCAGAAGCGCGGAACCTGTTTGGTGATGCTGAAGCGAGGCGATTGTGATGCCATGTCTTGATGTCATCTTTGATGCCTTGCAAAGTGCCTGGCTCGGATTGCAGTTTGATGGAGTTTACTGTCACCAAGGTGAAGACCTGAACTGGAGCCTCATCAATCTGAACGGCCTCAGGGGCAAGAGTGACAAGGTCTTGTGTGAGTTGTAACTAAATATATTCCGCGTCTCTAAACACGCCGACTGGCGAGGCCCCCAAAGAAGAGGACATCAGCTCCGGGGTCTACACATTCTCGCCAGCAAAGCTCAGATGGAACCCGAACTCGACCACCTTGTACCAGGTGCGCGGAGAATGCGTGTGCGTTTCGGGGAGAGACTGTTGACTTCGAAAGGGCATGGGATTCGAAGCGCTTCGCGAATGATAGCGCGAAGGTCGCCCCAAGCTTGCACAGCAGAGACAATCTCCTGCCACCGCACGCAGGAAGCTTAGTGGGCTTAGTGACAGCTTGGGCACCACTTCCCTGTCACATGATTCTTGGCGTAACTTTGATCTCCACTGGGGCCGAGGTGGGGTGGACGGTTGTGGATGGGCTTTCTCCGGCCCCCAGCGTCAACTTCTGCACCTCCGACAGTCTCAGAGCCTCGGCAGCCTCGGTAAGTCGGATTGACACTGAGTTGCCGGGCCGGGCCGCGGGCGGCCTGGGCCTCCAAGGACCCGAGAAGTTGCTGGCAGCTGCGATCCCCGGGAAGCTCCTGACACGGATTGCAGAAACTGCTCCGAGACCTGGTCGGATCCATTCTCGAGTTTAGGCATCTCTTCAGAGTTTGTCCTCGGATTTCTGAGGACCGTCGCGAAAGTGCAGACCTCCATCCATCAGGCTTGGAGGCCGCCAGAGCCGGAGCCTTTTCAGGCGCCATGAAGATCCACCCGTGCCAAGCTAGGACGGATGCGCAGCAGACGCTCCCGCGTATACTGCGATGGGGGACCAGCGAGACTTCCAAAGCTCGGAAGCAAGTGAAGGTGAAGGGAGAAGGGCGCTTGGCTCAAACCCTTTCGTTGCCAGGCCCGCTTCAGCACGATGCGAGCTTACCAAAAGAAGAGTGCTTTGGTTGGTCTCTTGCGCCACAGATCTTCGCAGCCCGGCTGCGTTGCTCATGCCCGAGGGCGAAACCGTCTTGGTCCCAGCTCGGCCTGGAGAAGCTCTTTAGACACTAAAGGGCTAAAATGAAAGCGGCCTTTAAGTCACTGACTCAAGCAGTATCAGGTCATGGTGATCTACAGCTTGGTCATTGGAAGGCCCAGCTTCCACTTCGACTGGGGGCTCTCCTTCCACGAGAAGGAGCTCCGAGACACAGGCGCACCCATGCGCAGCCGTATTGGCGCAATACGCACGACGCGCGTGAAGTTGCGAGAAGCAGTCTCCGGAACCAGCACCGTCAGGCAGAAGGATCGTGGAAGCGGTGGAGCCAAATTCTCCGTTCGACCGCTGGAACATCTGGCAGATGGCCCCTTTGACAGCGCTTACTGCAGCTTCATCTGAAAAGGGTTGCCACCATGTGGACCCGGTCACCACCGGCCATCTGCGAGGGGGGGGGTAAGCGGTTTCGGACAAGCTGAATCCGGCATCTGTCGGCCGAAACCAGCAGGAGCAACAGCAAGCCGGTTTGCACGAGAAGTGGAGTTGCACGACGACAGTCCAGGTGGATCCTTCGTCTGAATCGAAAACGAGAAAGGAGCTGTATGACACCGTGTTGTGGATTAAACAAGTAGGATCGTTGGGCAGGTGTCTGTTTGAAGCACGAAGTAAGAACATGTACTAGTGTATGCTACTGCTGCAGCACTGGTGCCCGAGCCGAGCAGTACAATGCTTGCGTCTGATGCATCAAGGGATATGGGTGCATGTCGGGATTTCCCCTCCATGTCGGAGGGGTTTGGGTTGACCTCTTTCTTCCAGAGCCATGTTCATCTTTTGGTTCCTTTATCCCAGCGTCTTTGATACTGGACAAGTTTCATTCTACGCCTTCACCATCAACTATATGCCGTTGTCTACTTCAGTATGTTCCGGTATGATTGAGGTTCTGAAAGGATGAGGTAAGTCGGAATGCCAACTCGCCGACGATGTTAATGTGTAGTGAATCAAGAACCCGGGAAACAACACACGGTGGACAACGTGCAGAACCTCGTTGACGTGATCGCCACTAACGCAAAGTGGTGTGCAAAAGGGGGTCAAGTGAGGCAAGCCCCAATGTGTAGGAAAGCTCACCATCCAGCATCAAGAGTCCCAGCTCTTCTGGATGTCGGCTTGCATACTTAAGCAGGGAGTTGGTTCCTTGGCCATCAAGGTCTGATGCATTAAGGCCGGAATGCCAGCTCCTGCACTAATAGCAAGCTCGTAAGCCATGGAAAGGTCCGTGGCCGGCCGGAGATGTGTGTCCGCGCAGGCGTGTTAGCCTTACTTTGGTGGCTTGCGGGATGAGACAGCGCGAAAAGTCGCGCCGTCGATCTGCGATCCGTCGGCCCAAGGACCAGCTGCTGAAACAAAGTGGGGCCTGGGCTAAAGCCTTAGCTTCCGACTTGAACGATGGGAGGGGCTCGGTTTCTGTGTCTTTTTCTGAGGCCTACTTCGAGTGCCCATTGGAAAGCCCAGAGGGTCTGACACCGAGAAAGGGGGCACCATGCCTTGGCCACGCACCCACGAGATCCCACAAGCGGGGCTTTTCTCGCAGGCTATGAGGACCTCCCGAGCATCACGGAATCCGAAACCCTAGAAGGCTCTCTTTCGGACGTGCCATGTTTCTGACAGTCTGACGTGGCAACTCGGCTTATCAGGTGTTGGTGATACCCTTCTTGTTCTAGACTTCGGACGCTTCGAGCGAAGACCGTGCCCACCTGAACCGCCCAGGCCTGGGCTGAAGCATGCGAACGCCATGTTTGCTATCACATCTGAATGATTTTGCTCGGAGGTTGGAGCCCTGGGAGGCAGGCTATGGCTTGCGAGTCGAAGTCGTCACTCCTGCCTGTTGGAAATCTCAGAGCACCAGTTGATGCTCTTCCTGTGGCCGTGTGGCCGTGGCAGGATTCCAACTTAGCTGGCCCTTACCAGCCGGAAGCCTAGTGCTCGCCTGTAATCTCTGCCCACAGCATGTTGATCGAGGGAAGATGTGATCGCCTGGGCTCTGGTGCTGAAAGAGGATTGCCTGAACTCTTCTGCGTGGTGTGTTCGCCCATGATCTCAATGAAAATCCCAGTTGAGCCTGTGGACTTTTGCAGGACCTAAGCGAAGCTGCCTTCGTTTCGACAACCCCTGGTAGCATCCTCAATTGGCCTTTTGCGACAGACTGCACTGTCTGCCATCGAGCTCAGGCAAATCAGAGACGTGCTGGCGTGCCTTCGACGGTGAATCGGGGAAGGCCTTGCGCAGCCTGTTCTGAGTCCCGGATCCATCGCGTTCGCAGCATTGTTGACATGAATTTGTGCACAAGCCAGAACTGTGTCAGTGTATTTCCAGCTGCAGCTTGTGTTGTCTTGCGTCGTAGTTCTAGGCATTTGACGTTTCAATCTGCTGCAACCCCCTGTGGTAAAAGTAACTTCAGCAGTGCGGCTTCAACAAGGCGAGCCAGTTCGCAGGTCCACAGAAGATGATGAACCAGTGAACAATCTTTGCAGCCCAGATGACAGACATTGAAGCACTTGAAGGTGGCAGTGGGACATGTTTTCGTTAGACTGTTGCCATGGCGGTCTGTGACGACTCCGGCGCCTTGCTTGCGGAGAGCGGGGAGAAACTGTTGGACGGTGAGGATGAGGACGAGAAGGATGAGCAGGAGGAGGACCGAAGCTGACAGATGCTTGTGAAGTTTAGACGCTGTCAATGCTTCGCGCCTGGGAGCAGGAATCTGTTCTGCAGCGGGAGATCTCTGTCACAGGCGGCCCACTCCCTGCTAAGAGTGCGAGACCCGAAAGCTTTACTGGGTGTCAGGCGGCGAAGCACGGTTGTTGGGTTTGGCCCTGGCGGACGTCTATGGCACCCGGGCCAAGAACGGGCTTAGCCACGCCAAGGCCCGCACGGGTTGGCCTGTCATGTACCGACCTGCCCACCCTGCCCTGCCCTTCCCTACCCTACCGTACCGCCTACCGACCGACCGGCCGGCCGAACCACCGACCTGCCTAGTATGCATGTGTGATCATGTGTCGTGCCCAGTATTTGTGTATGTCCGTACGTCTGTTCGTCTCTTTGTTGGTCTGTCCGTCTGAGCGACTCTCCGAAGACCTTCGGCTCGATCGCCTAATTTCCCCTCTCCATGCGGCCTCTCGTCATGGATTCCTCCGCCTCTTCAAGTCTTCGCCTGCCGCCTTTGCCGCCGAGTTCGCCGACTTTGCGGCTGGCCTGGATGTGGTGGGTATACTACGTCTACCACCTCGCCTACTGCGCTTTTGCCTTCGCCGAAGGAGATGCCTGCGACGGAGGACGTTGGGGAAATCGCGTGGTCTAACCCGGCCATTGGGGCGGCAAACATTTTGGGCGATCCATTCAACTTGAAAAGACGATGTTCAGACGGACTAGCATTACAAGCACGGAGTTGGAGGCGGCCCTGGGCGCATTGTCCTCTGAGGACTTCCACGTGGTCGCCGTTAGTGTCGCCGCTATCGAGCCCGACCTTGGCGGCTCCCACACTCTCGCTTTCTCTCTCGCTCTCTCTCTGTGTCTGTCTCTGTCTCTGTCTCTGTCTCGGTCTCGGTCTTTGTCTCTGTCTCTGTCTCTCTCTCTCTCTCTTTTTCTTTCTCTCTCTTTCTCTCTATTTCTTTCTTTCTCTTCTCTGCGATCTTGTTTTATGTTTTTTTTTTGTCGTGCTCCTGGAAAGCCAGCGAAAGAGAAGATATAGAATGACAGTGAAGTGAATGGTTTCGTACGTGTTTTTTGCTGTGGAAAAGAAAGCGCGGGTGAAAGCAGCAAAGCACAGGAACGAACAATGAGCGAAACCACTTACCTTTTCCTTCCTTAGTTCAGGCTACTTCTTGCTGTTGCAGTCGCCATTCGGTATACTCTTTCACTGAAAAAGGCGAAGCGGAAGAACGAAATTAGGCCGTTTACCAGTGGCACAAAGACGGTCCTGTTTGTTGAATCATTTCAGGCAAACATAAGCGAACGCAGTGATCGCATTTCTTAGCTAAGTAAGAAAAACATAGAAAAACGAAGGACCGAACAAAGCAAAGGGCGAAGAACTGAAAGCACAAATTACGTTTGTTTCATTTGTCTTGCGTTCTTTCTCTTCACCCTGTTTCCGGCTCTGTAAATAAGAGCTAAGTCCAGATGGTTGGGTTCACGCCAAGAAGTTGGCCTGGTTTCCTGTGTTATTTTTAATGCAAACGAAACAGAGGAACAAAACAAATGCGTTTTTGTTTGTATTGATTTAAAACTGAGGCACCTAGTTCTTTGTAGCAGTTACAAGTGAATCCTTCTTCCAAAACCCACCGGAAAAGTAACATGCCCTTCATTCTTCGCTCCTATTTCGTTCACTTTGTCATTTGTGCTGTCTAGCTGTCCGCAGCAAACGCAGCACTCTCTTTTATCTAGGTGACAAATAGTGGCACACACACACACATGACTCAGCAGACGCACTTGAATGTAGATGTGGCATGACCTGGCACAATCATGGTGCCGCATTCTTTGCAACCTAGACGATGATTGTTTATACCCAACAGCGCACAAAACTGTCAAAAGGTAGGCCCCGGAGGTGGGGGGCATATATATATATATGTATGTATACATAGATAGAGATACATACGTACAAGCTATCGACAGGTAGGGACTGTGAGCTAAGTTTGCTTGGGTGGCTGAAAGCATGGACAGACGTTCGCTTTGATGGATGCGTTGTCAGACACATGCATCGCAGAGTTTCACTTATTCGGTGGATCGCGAGAAATGCCAGCACTAAAGAAAAGGCTGTTCGTAAGATCTGTCTGCTCGTTCCGTTGCCTGGCAGGACTACTACTTGGAGCTTCGGTCTCAGTAGACAAAAAATGGTCACTAAGATTCTTTCTTGATGGAAATCAGCTGCCGCGGGGAGGCTCCCTCCAGTTTCTTGCTCCATGCAGAAATGGAGTGAGCTCGCTTGTTTGGCGCGAGAAGGCCAGGTTTGATTGCATTTGCGCTTTTTGCTCGGGTACTGGACCCTACAAAGTTACATGCCTCGGCCACTCTCGGCGGATATCCAGCTTCAGGCTGTAATCAGAGCACGGCAGAAGATGCTGTGCCATGCAGGTGCTGTGGCCTGCTGCCCGACTGCTGCAGCATTTTTCGACGGGCTCTGTGAAGGTTTGGGCGTGGGCCCCAACACGCCATTCAGCTTTGCAAGTTGACAAGCAGTCGCTTGTTCCAGGCTGGGACGTCTACGAGTCGCTCTTGGACTTCGAGGATCTGCGAGAGTTACTGACACAGATGAGCAGTCTGAAACAAAAGTGGCAGTTGCTGTTGGTGACAGATCTACACCCTTGAGCTGCAGCGCCGAGAGCGCGTGCAAGTATCGGCCCTGAATCACGACGACAGTGTTCCGGAGCATGCGCAAAGTCTGAGGCTCGAATCCGTCCCCCGACCGACACGTCCAGCAGCTCCGACAGCCCCGGCCTCAGCAAGCATCTCCTTTCAGAATTACAAGATATGAGAGATCAGGTAGCGAGAGCTTGGTTCTCGATGCAAGCACTACAGAGGAGGCCATGGACGACCAAAGTCTGAATTTGGAGTTTCAGATGGCCCGAGCAGGAATCTGAGGTCTCGGGCACCGGGGCTGTCGACACAGAGGCAGGGTTGGGACACAAGGGCATTCGATGCAAAGTTGGGCCAATGACTGTGCCTCGACAGGCCTCTGAGCCGTCAGGGAAGCGCAAGAAGCCGCACACTGGCCGATGCACTCTGGCACATTCGCCGGTAGTCCTCATGATTGTCATGCTTTTCGTGGGCCAAAGCGTTGCTTTCTTCTGGGCGTGGCAATGCTCTAGTCACCCACTTCAGCTGTCAGAAAATCGAGTTTATCTACTTCAGGCACTGGCTTTGCCATTGCCGGTGATTCGAGCAAGATCGGAGGCACAAGTGGGCGGTTGAGCTTGCACTGCTTGATGCTCGTGCAGATAGAGTAGTTTTATCTTCGGAAATGCTGCGCAGTAAATGTTTGGCAACGTCTTCATAGCTTCCTGCCAGGGCAGGATATTCGTCTGCGTCTACTTTTGCTAGCAAAGCCATCGTGCCCTCTGGGCTTGCTCTTCGTTGCCTCTGCGCATGTGTCTGGTTCAGCAGTCAAGATCTGGAAGAGAGGCAGAATCCATTGATGGCCCTTTGTTGGGTTCATTGGTACTCCCGAAAACCGCGTTTGAAAGCCAACAGAAAACCCTGTCATCGGTGAGGAACATCCAAGCAAGGCCACAATGATCGTCCTTGTGATCACTCCTCTCGCCCCTGCTGCTTGTACCCAGTTGTCAGGTAGTCCAAAGCCAGAGAAGGGAGTGGAGGGAAAGCGGCTTTAGGGAAGGCTTCCCAATGCTTCCCTGATGCTGTCAAGTGCTCGCAAGGTGAGGCATCTGTCCATGCAGTGTCTGTTGACTCCGTTTCTGGAATCGAGCTCCGTTGCATCCGTGCCAGTCTTGTGCTATCCTGAGCAGTCTCAGCCAGGCGTCGGTGACGCTGTGCTAGTGTCACAAACAGTGGATCTTCCTGGGCTTCTTTACGGCCACTGGGCAGCACCCTGGCGGACGCAAAGTCAAGCCCCAGTGGCAGCTTCTCAGCACTTCCACCATGGCCACTGCGCACGGAATGTGCCTCCTTTCCAATTCGGTCAGTGCGCTCCGTTCGAACAAATCTTGTCGCTGCCATCATCTCAGGTTTTGGAGATTTCGACTGTGCAGTGGGCCAAGCTCCCGAGGTTCTAAGTTGTCTATCTCTCTCTTTCTCTGTCTCTCTCTCTCCTTCTCTTTTTGCCCCTTGCCCATGAAATGAAACGGTGTTGTGCGTCCCTTCCCGATCGTGCAAGTGCATCATGCCAGCCACAACTACTTTGCAACGCGAGCGGTTCACAAGCGAAGGTGCTGCGGCTGCAGCTGCCTGGTTTGGAAGTTCTGGCATACGACTGTGACGGCAGGTTCTGTGATCTTCTGCAAGTCACGCCATCTGTGAAGACGAATCATGCTGGAGCGTCTCAGGGAGTACAGATGCTGTGGTTCAGGTTGTGCTTACATGTGCACCATCATCTGGATAGATAACCCAATGCTAACTCGACTAATCAGTCGTCAATGCCAAGCACTGCCCACCCCCATGTGGCTTGATTTGTCAGGAAGCTAGCCCTCTAGAGTTTTCTTATCTTGCATGCTGTGCAGGGTTGGCAGTGCAGCATGATTGAATCCGATTGGTCCCCCGTCAAGAGATGCAGTAAGATACCAGTAGCTTTATGTCAAACTCAAAGTTCTAATCCTACAGAACCTTCAAAATCATAAGCTAAGAGAAAAATGTGAAAATTATGGGAATTCCAGGTTTGCAGGGAATACGAAAAAAGGGGAACTAGGAAAATTAGGAGAGAAAATAGAGAAGCATAGGAGAAAATAAGAATAACATAGGGAAAAATAGGGAAAACTAGGAATAACATAGAGAAAGCATAGGACTTGTAGGGAAACACTAGGAAAAAGATGACAAAACACAGGCCCGCATGGTAGAAAGGAGTGCGGGAAGAGCGGGCCGGGGTTCCTATTTTCTCTTGTTTTTCTGTTTTTTTTTTATTTCGATTTCCAAAAAACCAGGACCATTTTGGGCCACTTGCGATCTGACTGGAGTTAGCTCAAGAGTCGCACATAAGAGTAGCTGTCAGTTCTTCACCTTTGCATATGACAGGACGATGAAACATAGCTCTCTCATCAGGCTGCGCTGACAGATGCCTGCTTGTCTGAGCCGGAAAACTTATCTCACTAGCGCAGTTGCTTTCCTCGTCAGGCACGCAGAAATCACTGGTTTCTTGTTTGCCATGACTGGTGTCGATGTGTTCGTGGAGTATGAAACTGATATGGAAAATCAGGATCAATGGCACTCGGATAAAAATCAGGCCTGCATGTTGTGGCAATTGTGGAAGCAAGCATTGCTGAAACAGGAATCTGAGGAATGCGAAAACGTGTGACACATGTGTTTGTTGCCGAGCACCGGATTTCGAGGAGGCCCTAGCCAAGAACGGCAGAGTTTCGAGTCTCCTCAAGTTATGCCAGACACGAAAAGACAATACTTGATTTCAGTTTAGAGGGACACTCGACTTCTAAGCGTGATTGGAGCACTCTCCGATTCGAGCACTTCGACGATTGAAGTACGCACGATTCCAATGCACGCGCGATCGGTGTCATTCACCAGCGATTCATAGCACTTCGACGTGTGAGCAAAGCACCACCATCTCCAAGCTTCTACCGCTCGTTTTTTTTTTCGGCTTCGAGTCTGCCTTTCGATGTCTGCCTTAAGTGCACAAATCGGTCCTTGCCCACGCTGTGCAGGTTCTGTCCGGTGGGAATGAATTCTGCTGGCCTGGGAGTCTGCGTGTTTAACCTGCACGACAGGCTGGGCAAGGGCCTGAACGCAAGCTGTTAGCAAGTCACCAATGGTTGAAGGCAGACAGACGGCTTCGAGAAGCCGTCGATCAGCGTGCAGGCCACCACCGCTATCGGTTCTTGAAAAGATGAGCCGGTCTTATATCGAGTAAGCTACTCCAAGATTTGTTTTGGAGTTCTGCAGATGTCCAGCTAGAAATCGCAGTGCCTCGCAGACCTTGGTCTGGGAACTACTGCTTTGTGGCCACACATTGCGCTCGGCGCTGGCGTGGCTACAGCAACTGAAGCTGCCGCCAATGTGCCAGATCCCTGGATACTTGTGAAGTGCTACGAGGTGAGTTGTCGAAATTGCATGTCTTGGAGTCTTGGCAGTCCTTGATCAGATCGCGTATCGTAAAGCTGCACCTCGCGGCCAGCAGGTACTAAACTGGCACTGGTAGGTAGTTGCCAGCACCAGGAGCTAGGAAATGGTTCGTCCCCCAAAGTAGGTCAGGTGAGTAGTATCAAGCAGCTGGTGGTTGGTACGGAGCAACCACTCTGACTTCAGAGTGCAGACAGGGAGGGATATTGAGAACCAGTGCAACCAGGACAAGTACGAGTACCAGTAGTCTTAGTGTTCCCAGAACCGTCATTGTAGTTGGCCTGGTCGTCGTCGCGTCGTCGCCGACAAGCCGTCGCTGCAACACCAGTATAGTTATGGTGCTGTAGCCGCCCTTGCTGCAGCTGCAACGGTTGCTTTTGTTCTTGGAGCACTTTCTGCCGCTGTCCTCCTTGTCATCATGACTCTCAGCATCCATATGCCCCCCATCATCGGGACTGGACAAGCACGGACATTGCTCCGGGACAGGCGGCAGCGGACTGCTTCTTGTGGATGCGAGCGGCGCTGCCACGGTAGAGTTGAATCCAGGTGCCTCGCTCGTGTGCGGCTTTAGGGCATGTGGATTTTCAAAAGATCCATATCTGAAGTAATTTTGAGGGAGGGTGTCCATTTTCCTGTTGTGTGGCTACGAATTTAGAGATTTTGTTTTACGGTGGGAATGTTCGAGTGCCGAGTTTGGGCTGCAGAGTTGCAGACCGATGCTCCCGCAAGAAGGTGATCTGAGCTGGTCAGATACAGAAGCCCGAGTCTGACGGCAGAAGAGCCTCTGACGATTCGAAGAGTAAGCCCGACAGCCCTGTGATTGCTCCGCAGGGTCATGTAGACACCATTGACTTCCAAGTTCTGTTTCAAGCCGCAGACGGTCGCAATTGATATGTGTTTGGCACATAGACCGGTGGCTCGAGATTCTATCATTGCTAGTGGATCTTCTCAATTCGTGTCTGTGCACTTGCTAACAGCAGAAACAATGAATCTCCTTTCCAGCGCTCGTTTTCGGTTCTCGGAGGGTTGTGGTTGAAACGGTGCTGGCTGCTATCGCAACAGGTGGCCCTGTGATCGGCGATGTCCACCTGGAAGACCCGGTGTGCCTTCTCAGAGGAACACGAGACTTTAATTCCAGGACAGCTTCTCGTATTTGCAAGGTTCTGCGGGCCAACCATCCGATTCTGTCGAAGCCGGTGCCTGAGGTCAGTAAGTGAGTGAGTGAGTGAGTGAGTGAGTCAGTCAGTCAGTCAGTCAGTCAGTCAGTGTGTGTGTGTGTGGTTGTGCGTGCGAACGTGTGGCCGGATCAGAGCTTTACAGGAAAGTATTTGAGCCAACTCCTGCCACTAGGTCTGCAACAACATTTGGGGCCGGCAAAAAAGCTCGGCGTGATTCGGAACGCCGCCTGCAGGCGAGCCGCACGTGACTGTTACTACTTTTGTCGATCTTGTCCACCAGACCTTTCTGTCCTCAGTTACTAGGCTTCCTAGCATGGTAACCGGCAGGCAGTGGAGGCGGAGCTGGAACGGCGAAAGGCCGGTGCTGAGTATGGAATAGCAAATCCATGCAGATGGGCAACCCGGCCGCCAGGACGCAGATGCAAAGGAGCAGTTTGATGGCGGCGCTGCCATCTCTGTTCTGCGGTCCACATCCTACACCCGGGCATGCAACTACAGACTGGCAGGAAGAAGCTGGCTTTTTTTTAGTGTGTTGGCTGTGATACCAGGAAGGCCAAGAAGGTCAGAAATATTGCCACCCTGGCGGTCATTGGTCTCGATCTACTGCGAGGCTTCTGGCTGCTCCTGAGCCTTCATGGGTTGGTCAGCCAAGCCGCTGGATGTTCCAACCGTTGCAGGCCGGCTTCTTGTTGAGCCCCCGGCTCAGTTCCTCTTTGACAAGGACAAAGATGGCGGTCCACCCCTCTGTCGCAGAGACTTTTCTGAAAGCAGTGCGCTCGAGGTTCCGAGAGCGGCAGTCGGTCTCAAACGTCGAGGCTGCGCGATTTGCTGTGGAGTTTGGCTTGGCGCCTGGACCTCAGGGTGTCACAGCTACATTTGGAGCTGATGTGATCTGACCTTCAGTTCTAGAAGCACAGGACAGACAGAATCTCTTTAGAAATCTCCGGTGCTGGCAGAGCGAGCCCAAGCGCAAGTTTCACATCCCGCTTCTTGTTTTTCGAGCACTGGCCTGGCTCCTGTCCTGCGAGACGTCGAGACCGAACCGTCAAGGAAAGCCTATAGTTCACATTAGTTGAGATTAGTTTTGACTAGTGTTGACTCGGCTAGGAGAAGAGCCTCTCCCTCCAATTCCTTGGTTCTCTCTGGTGGTAGTAGGCGCTGACTAGGAGACTCGTCACATCTTGTTGCTTTGTCTGCTTGCTTTCCACCAGCGGACTCGCCAGCGATATGAACGTTGCTGCTGCTCTTTGCAAGTGGCCCTTGGATCAAGGCCCAAGATTGTGGATCGTGCCCTGTTGCAAGGAGGTCTCCAGATGGACCCCGGCTCAGCCCATTCGTGGAGAGTCTAGTCGTGCCACATCGTGACACAACAGCTGCCTTGTACCGCCCTCAAGCTCCAGGAGACCAAGAGGCTCCGCATGACCAGCGGTGAATCAGGGCTTCACGTCACCCGTTGGACTCGACATTGCTTTTCGCTCTCGACAGACGAGGAAAACCAAGGGCCGGCCTGTGTGATGCATGGTCTCTGTGCAGCACCAGCTTTGCAAGCGCTTTGTGGCTGCTTCGGAATTTGCACCAATCACATCACAAAACGTGACAGGTCCATGCTGTGCTGCGCGATGCGGAGGTTCACGGCATTTCGCGTTTGTTCTGTTCCGCGAATGCCTCCGCTTAGGTGCATGGCCCAGCTAGTCTACAGAACATGCTTTTCGTTAGGGTTCATTTCGTCAGACTCCGATTGATTTTTGACGGCGGCGTCTGTGTATCTGGTGCATCCGCCAGCCAGAGCATTCATGGCCAAGCCATGATAACGTCCCTTCCACCAGCATGTCCGTCGGTTCGAGCAGCCACGGTGCGATCATGACAACGTCCTCCTCGTTCATCGTGCATGCTGACTGCATCGGGACCAAGCAGTCATGTTGAATCGCTTTCGCGCAGACTTCTCGCGTATTCTCACTTTACAAGCTTGAAGAATAGTAGCCGTTCCGCCACACTTAGAGCCAAGTAGCCCGAAAACCATGGCCGCTCGTCAAATCGTCTTGTTGTCGCAGCCGTGCATGTGAATCATTGGAGGCTTGCGTAGATCCTTGCTTACATTTCCGTATGGCTGGCTGGGGTATCCTGGAGTTGCATGGCTTACCCATGGGAACCTGTCAACAACGATTCACAGTTGTGCGTTCACTGGGCTGCATTTTGGGATAGTTTTGGATGCTCAACTCTCACAGCCTGCCGAGCAAGGGTGTTCGAGTGGCAAGGTATGGCAAGGTGATGTGCTGACATTTAGGTGGAGAGCGGAGGTCTGTAGATTAACATCCAGCTTGTCCGTTCACGAGGGGTAGAACTCTCATGACAAGCCTTACCTGCCAACAAACATGCACGAATCGTCCCTGCACTGGCTTGGAGAAGTGCAAAATCGACTGGCACCCTGTTCCAACGATTTGTCACTTAAAGCCATCCCTTCCGCTGGCCCTTGAAGCTGTCTTTGCCGAGAGGCATCTATCTGTCGTGTTCAGCTTGGAGATCTGTTGGATTCGGGAGTTGCTTCAGCATCACCCCAAAGTTACCGCATCGTTTTCTTCCTTGCATTTGCCTGCCATTCGCTGCTTTTTCAGCCGTGTCCTTCGGGAATGGCACGTGCTGATTTCGTTCGACTGCCCTGTTCCGCTTTGCTGCGATGTTTTTCTGCAGCCCCATTGTTCGCTTATGTTCGCTCACTTAGCTTGCAACGGACTGGCGAGCAGACTTGGGAGGTTGGTGCAATCATGCACAGTGGTGCGCCGATTACACTCCATCTCTCCGAGGGTATTAAGCGCAAGACTCAGGCTGTTTGTCGCTTCTGCACACGTGACGGTCTCAGTGAGGCAGGCAGCGGCATGCAGGCAAATACAAGTGTCACAAGAGGTAAGCAAGCAGTCAAACAAGGCTAGCATGCAAGCAAGTAAGCACGGAGGCAATGCAAGCAAGCAAGCAAGGTAGCTAGCTAGCTAGCTAGCAAGCAAGCAAGCAAGCAAGGGTTCCAGCAAAACAACAGCAACCACCACCACCGCTGCCCCGCTGCCCCGCCGCCGCCGCCACCGCCACCGCCACCGCCACCGCCCCCGCCGCCACCGCAACCACCACCACCATCACCCCTGCCACCACCACCACCACCACCAC